GTTGTGGTGGCACACACCTGTAATTCCTGCACTCAGGAGGCTGAGGCACAAAGATCACAAGCTCAAGGCCAGCCTGGACTACATAGTGAGACCCTGTCTCAAAAAACAAAACAGAAAGGTGCTAAAAATAATGTTGTAGAAGTATGTTCATTAACAGACATAATTTAGGTGAAATGTAGATTTCCAAAGAGAATGTTCATAAGGACCCAGGTTTTGTGTTTTAAAAACTCTGAAGGCATAAAAATCATTAGTTAACAAATCCCAAAGAATCTACCAAAAATATATATTGAACCTAACAAATTCAGAAACATTGCAAGACATAAGTTCAACATATAAAAATCAGTGACATTTCATACACTCCACACACTACATAACAATAAAGCATGCAAAAAGGAAATTAAGAAAACATTCCTGTTATGGTTTAGTTTGACAGTGTTCCCCCAAAGCTTCATGCACTGGATCATGAGGGCACTATACTCACAGGTAGATTCATCTACTGCTGAGTTCAGTGGCTGAGTGTGCTGTTAGGAGGAGGGGCCTGGTCAGAAGAGGAGGGAGACCTCCCTGCCTCTTCCCTTTTCTCTCCATTTCTTGGCCACCATGCATGTGAGCAGGTTTTCCACTGTTACGCCCCTCTGCTATTTCATTTCTGCCTTGGAGCCAGTGGACTATGGACTGAAAATGTAAGTCAAAATAAACCTCTCCTCCTTTAAGTTGTGGGAGTTGGGTATTGTGTCTAGGTGAAAAGAAGTGACTAAGACAATTCAATTCATAATAGAAAATAATAAGAATAAATTAAACCAAGAAAGTATAACACATACCCTGAAAACTATAGGATTTTGCTAAAAGAAATTAAAGTACAATTAAATATAGAAATATATCACACAACCATGAATTGGAAGTCTTCTTGGAGTTTTTTAGATATTATAAAAATGAAAATACTCCCCAAAGTGACCTACAGATTCAATATAATCCCTATCAAAATTCCAATAGACTTTTTTTGTAAAAATAGAAAAGATGATGCTAAAATACATATGGAAATACAAGAGATCCCAAATAACCAAAACAACCTTAAAAAAAGATCAAAGTTGGAGAACTTGCTTTCCTCAATTTTAAAACCTACTACAAACTACAATAATTAAAACAATGTACTGGCCTAAGAACAGACAGGTTAATGAAGTAGAACAGGAAGTCCAGAAATAACCCGCACATCTATGTTCAACTAACTTTTGACACAGGTACCAAAACCACCCTATAATAGCCCTTAGAGAACTGGATATCCACATGCAAAAGAATGAAAACAGACCATAAACAAAAACTGACTCAAAACAGACTAATTACCTAACTATATAAAAATATAAAATTCTTAGAAAAAGTAAACATTTATGACCTTGGTTTGGCAAGGATGTCCACTATCACCACTCCTGTTCAATATAGTTCTGGAAACATTAGCCACAGTAATTAGAAAAGAGAAAGAAATAAATAAAAGGAATAAAGAAAGGAAAGGAAGAAGTTTAACTGTCATTATTTGCTGACGATATGATACTCTACATAGAAGACCCAAAAAACTCGGCCAAAAGACTTCTAGACCTAATTGACAGATTCAGTAGAGTAGCTGGATATAAGGTCAACACTCAAAAAACAATTACCTTCTTATACACAAATAGCAGACTCACTGAGAGAGAAATTCGGGAAATAATTCCTTTCACAATAGCATCCAAAAAAATGAAATATCTAGGAATCAATCTAACGAAGGAAGCAAAAGACCTCTACACTGAAAACTACAGCACTCTGAAAAAAGAGATCGAGGAGGATATAAGAAAATGAAAGACATCCCTTGTTCCTGGGCGGGAAGAACCAATATAGTGAAAATGGCCATACTTCCAAAACTACTATATAGATTTAATGCAATGCTGATTGAAATTCCAACAATATACATGACATAACTAGAGAAAACAATCCAAAAATTTAGAACCAGAAGAGACCTAGAATAGCAAAAGGAATTCTAGGCAACAGAGACATGGCTGGGGGTATCACAATCCCCAACTTGAATCTATACTACAAAGCTACTGTGATAAAAAACAGCATGGTACTGGCAAAGAAACAGACCCAAGGATCAGTGGAATAGATTAGAAGATGCAGAAACAACTCCAGACATACTCAGCCACCTCATCTTTGACAAAGAAGCCAAACCACCCTCACTGGAGGAAAGATAACCTATTTAATAAATGGTGTTGGAAAAACTGGATTTCAATCTGCCAAAGACTAAAACTAGACCCATACCTATCATCATGCACTAAACTAAGATCAAAGTGGATTAAAGATCTAAATATTAAGACAGAAACACTAAACTTGCTGGAAGAGAAGTTAGGTAGAACTCTTGAAGACACTGGCATAGGAAAAGACTTTATGAACAAAACCTCAGTAGCATGGTAACCAGCACAAAGAATCAACAACTGGGATCTCATCTTATTAAAAAGCTTCTGCACTGCAAGAGAAACCACCAACAGAGCTAAGAGACAACCTACAACCTGGGAAAAAAATTTTAGCAGCTGTACCTCAGACAAAATATATAAAGAACTTTAAAAAAAAATCGGACCTCCCAAATTTAAAGACCTAATTCAAAAATGGGCATCTGAAATGAACAGACATTTCTCAGACAAAGAAGTAAAAGCAGCAAATAAACATATGAAAAAATGTTCAACATCACTGGTCATTCGAGAGATGCAGATGAAAACAACACTGAGGTTCCACCTCACCCCAGAAAGAATGGCTGCTCTCAAGAAATCAACAAACAACGGGGGTGTGGAGAAAACGGAACCCTTCTCCATTGTTGGTGGGAGTGCAGACTGATGCAACCACTGTGGAAATCAGTATGGAGATACCTCAAAGAACTAGGGCTAGAGGTCCCATTTGACCCAGCTATTCCCCTGTGGGTATCTTCCCAAAAGAATTAACAGAATCATACCACAGCGATATATTTGCACCCATGTTTACAGCAGCACAGTTTGTAACAGCAAAAGCTTGGAAACAGCCCAAGTGCCTATCAGCTGGAGACTGGATAGAGAGAATGTGGTTTTTAAATAAAATGGAGTACTACTCAGCCATAAAGAACAACAAACAAGAGACATTTATAGCTAAATGGATGCACATTGAAGCCATGCTCTTTAAGTGAAATAAATAGGACAAACGTGTAAATAACGAATAGTTTCTCTGGTGTGAGAAACTGGAAGTGTAAATAAGGATTAAAATTTTGGGGTTTTTGGGGGTTTTTTTTGGTCCCGGGGATCGAACTCAGGTCTTTGCGCTTGTGCAACAGGCAGCAAAACCACTGAGGATTAAAATGAATAACTGATAATATGAAGTAGGAAGAAAAGGTCCAAAGGGGTAAGGGAAGTAGGAGGAGTAGGGGAAAGGAAAGAAGGAAAAGGAAAAAATGGAAACAAAGTCTTTGTAAATAGGGAAGGGTGGAGGGGGTGAAGGGTGGGCAGGGGAATGGGGAAAAAATAAGAACCCAGATACATCACGTAAAGGTAGAAGTTCCCAATGATAAATGCAAATGTACTGCATACCTAAAATGTACCAATAAAAGAAATAAAAAATAAACAAAGAATGCCAGGGCCAGGCATGGTGGTGCACACCTCTAGCCTCAGCACTCGGGAGGATGAGGCAGGATTGCTGCAAGTTCAAGGCCAGCCTGGGCTACATAGAGTGTTTAAGGCCAGCCTGAACTACACAGCAAGACCCTGTTTAAAAAAAAAAACCCACAATAAGATACTATTTTACATCCCCTATATTAGCTATTATCAAAAATGGAAAATGAGCATTAGCAAGGCTGTGGAGAAAATGGAATTCTCATGCATTGCTGGTGGGAATGTAAGAGTGTAGTTGCTGTGGAAAATAGTGTGGCAGATCCTAAAATAGTTATACACAGAAATACTGTATGATCCAGTAATTCCACTCTTGTATCATCATAAGATGCACACATGGTGCCACCACAGTGGCTCTAAGGCCTAGTACCTTCAGAAGTCGACCTGTAGAAAATATGGCTACCCTGCTAAGTGGAGTGTGAAGGCTGAAAGACAAAATACCATCAGGCGAATGAAGCATTTGAAAACTGGATACTGTGGATTCAGGCATGATTTTCAGGAAGGTACAATACCTAAACCTTAGAGAGCAGCTGTCGCAGACTCCAGTTCATCTTGAGAATTTCAGCCACTACTCAAAATAAATATTTTGGCTGAAAGAAAGAGCAGGAGGGAGGGAAGGAGACAGAGAAAGAAGGAAGAGAGAGTTGGGGACAGGGAGAAGGAAGAGAGGGTGGGAGGGAGGGAAAGAGGGAATTCAAATTCTTATACCCAAATGTTCACAGCAGCACTATTTATAATAGCCCAAACGTGGAAGTCACCCAAACTTTCATCAACTGATGGATGGATAAACAAAAATGTGGCTAGAGATATTATCCATCTAGCCATAAAAAGGAATAAAGTACTAATACATATACAGAATGTTCTATTGGGGTGATGTTTTTTTTTTTTTTTTTTTGCCTTTGCTCTGAGCTGTATCTCCACCCCCTTTCTTTTATCTTACATTTTGAGACACAGTCTCACTAAGTTGCCCAAGCACTTAAAGTTTCAATCCTTCTGCCTCAGCCTCCCCAAACACTGGGATTACAGGCATTCATCACCACTCCTGGCTCAGGTTGATTAAAATGTCATGGAATGAGAGGTGATGGTTGCACAATATTATGAACATACAAAACGCCACTTAGAATGGTTGATGGATACATACACATATAATTCATATAATATGAATCATACCTCAATAAAAAAATTTTTAAAAAGTCTAAAAGCCTAACATATTTTAAATAAATTTATTTTCTCTTCAGAAACCATTATGGTTTATTAGATTCAAAGCTACATTTCATCATAACACTTTTCATAAAGTTATTCTCCAAAATATGTCTAAGAAAAATATTCATAGAATGCTCTATTTCTTACCAGCAGACTCTTGTTCATTCTGTTTTTCATACAGGGTGCCCACAGACATCAGGAAAACAATAACCAGGAATACTGGAATTCTCCATGAGCCAGCCAGGGATGCTGAAAATCATTAAGAATTAACATTTTTAGCAAAATGAAAACCTAGTACTTGTTTTTAAAACACTTGGTTTTCTGGACTGACAGAATAATTTGGTACACATGCTAAATACAAAATTATTACAGGGAAAAAATGTTTTGAAAATGCCATCAAGCAGATCTCAATTTAGGAGTGGGAAGGTGGGGTAGGTAGGTACTGAGTATTAAACCCAAGGCTTTGCACATGCTAGGGAAGCACTCTACCACTGAGCTGTATCTCTAGCCCTGAATTCAGGAATTTTTGATACAAGTTCATCCTTGCTCTCAGACTGCATTCTAAAAGATCATGTACACACCAGCCTATCCTTAACAGGTTTGTATCACCTAACGGAATCCAGTCCTAGACTAAAGCATATGCTGAGTTTAAGACCATTCCAAACCCAAACTACCCATTAGACCCCAGAATGTGAAGAATCAGGCACAGACTCTAAAGTCATGGAGCCTGACTTGGTTTTCTGCGTATACCACTTGGCATGAACAATTGCTAGAATAAGGACCCAACGGCCCACGAGAGTACACCAAAAGCTTCAATGTACACTCCTCAGAATGCAGTACAAATGAAAATTAAACAAACATCAAGGATTAGGTCTCTATCCTAACCATGTGACTTTCCCTGAGTCTGTCTGGAGCTTTGTGGACATATCTGCCTATCTCCTGCCTCTGCCTTCCCCAAACTCAAAATGAGTCCCATGAGATCTTGCAGATAAACTCTAGCATATCAACTCAACAAAGTTAGAGAATAATGCTTTGTTCAACACCAGACTCTTAAGCAAAGACATTGTTAATAAACTATTTTTTATTTATAATAAGTAGCTCTAAAAACTATTTTAGGCTATCTACTGCTCTGTTACTGAATTTTACTTTTAAATTCAAATTCCATGTTTTTCTATCAACTCAGACTAAGAAATGAGTCCTTTATATGTATCATGTTGAAAAAAATCACTCAAAATCCTGGCAACCAACCAATTAACAGTGGAAGGTTTCATACAACAGGGAAGTCATTACTCTGAGCAGTTACAACTCAACAAGTCCTATGTTAAACAGAGATTTGTTTCTAGGAAGATACAGTTCTGACATCTCTCCATCATGGTTATGGAGATCTGTTTAAAGTACTTTTTCACAGGACAGACAGTCTTCCAAATATTAGATATAGGCCTTCATAATTTATATCCTTAATTTCTTCCTGTTATCCAGAGTAAACACCTTCTCTAATCCCTTTAACTATCTGACACATCAGGCCACTTCTTATCATCCTCCACTGCTTATCTGTATCTGTAGCCCCGTAACTATGACACTCAGCAAAATGACCAAGAGAGGCCAGTGTGCTCTATTTTTTAAGATACATTTACCACTAAAGGACTTTATTTTAAAAAGAACATGTAATATAATTAAAAGATAAATATTTTAAAGCATATTTGCATTAAAGATTAATGAAAGATGAAAGCCTAACTTTTTAAAAGATTATTTTAAAGAATTTTAAACACAACATATAATACTACAAAGAATTCATTTTCATTCACAGTTAGCCTTTGGTGACTTTAAACTAGACTTAAAAAAAAAAAAAAAATTAAGTGACCCACCTAAATGAAAAAGCAATATAATCCAGACAGGAATTGAAATTGTTCTCAAGTAGCGTTCAGTGCTTGCATTCCACTTCAATGAAACAGTCAACACATAGCCAACTACCAAGGTCCAGATCTTAAATAAATGAAATATAGACACAGCTATAAAATATATACAGGTGAAAATGAACATAGAATTATATGACATTTGTAAGAATCTGTGTCCCTTGACATCATAGATAAGGTTGGTGGTGCCAAAGGAACTTGCCTAGGTCCTCCTGCTCTGTTTAAATAAACTGTTTTGAAATAAACTGACATTTGAAATTTCATGTAGTGATATTTAGAGATTTGACAACTACATATCATTTTAAGACACTAATGTTCAAAACCCATTTTATGTGTAAAATACTCTAAATATTCTATTAAAAGCCTAATCTTTGTGGAATTTATATCATGAATGTTTATAAAAGGAAAGGGGGAAGAAAAATCTTTCTAAAAGGAATCAGACTAAAAAATCTATTTCAGTCTTGTTTATGTTGTATGCTTGTTTTCTATGTTGTTTTTTGGTAATGGGGATTGAATCCAGGGCCTTTGCATTGAGCTACATCCTCAATCTCAACCTTTTAAAAATTTTTTTTCATTTGAGACAGAATCTCACCAAGTTGCTAAATTGCCCAAAATAGGCTAAAACTTGAGATCCTCCTGCCTTAGCTTCCCAGAGGCCTGGGTTTACAGACATGAGCCACCATTCTCAGCTAAAAATATGCTTGTTACTGTGAAAGAAAAAACTGTTTAAAGCTAGAGAGAAAGTAGTTATCTGAAGTGTGCCCTTGCTGCGATTATCTAGGCAACAGATGGTTAGACCCTAACCCAAAGTCAAAGGCTCCAGCGAAAAGAGCATGCTGGGAAAAATGTTAATAAAGAAATAACAAAACTTGACGATAGAAGACCCAGCCAGCCTTTCCTTCATTCTCCCTCCCTATACTAAAGTTAAATTGGTAACACGTAAGAAACATCACAAGAAAGCTGTGCAGTCTACACAGAAACTCATATTTTATTAGAACATTTACAAAAGGTGGAATACCTAATCCAGAACAAATCTGAGCATCAAACAAGAAATTAGTAAGAATGTAAAATTCAAGTTTGAAATGAACTTTGAAAAAAAAGAGAGGAAAAAAGCAAATTGAGACAAGAAGGAACTTTAAGATATACTTTAGAGCATGGAAAAAGAAAAAACCCTAATATTATTACTACAAAAGACAGGAAAAAAATCCTACCTATTACATTATTGTGGTCACATCTATCAATAAAAATAATCTCTGGATTTTAAAAATGTTTATAGTTTCTGACTGGAGAATTCAGCTTTGGAATTTATTCTTACAAAACAATGACAGCTTCTAAGAATGCTTTCAGTATAAAGCAGCTCCTCAGAATGTGATTTAAAACAGTGAAAACACCTAAAAGGTTGACAACTGGGAAATGAATAACTATGACTGATTCATGCAGTAAAATTTTCACAACCATTAAAATTGTTTTTTAAAAAAAGACCACACAGTTGTGAAATTGCTAATATGGTATTAAGTTAAAAGTAAAATACAAGGGCTGGGGATTTAACTCAGTTGTTTTGCCCCCTGCTGCGCAAGTGCAAGGACCTGAGTTCGATCCCCAGTATCAAAAAAAAAAAAAGTAAAATACAAAAAAAATGACACTTTCATGTCAAAATGTGAGAATATTAAAATATTTTTCTTCAACCAACTCTATTAGACAAAATATTAAAGAGCTCTGAACCCCAAAATTAATGAGGACAAGGAAAGTGAGATAACAGGCACTTGAAAATAGTTCAGGCTTGCAAAACCAGATGAATTAGCCCTGGAATTCCAAAGGATCTGAGATCTGAGTGTAAAACTCAAAGATGATTTGAGCACAGTAACAGAACACTCACAAAACATCATGTGCCAGGCCCTGTTGTAATATTTTAATTACAGGGACTAATTTAATCCTCATAACCTCAAAAATTAGTGCTATTATTTTTCCCATTTCACAGATGAAAGAAACTGAAACTTTAGGGAAATGATCTGCCCAACATCATACAGCTAGGAAAATGGCAAGACTGAATTAAAACCTAGGAATCTGGGCCCAACATCTGCTTTCTTAACCATAGAATAAAGAAATGTGGTGCTAGAAAAATAGAAGCAAAAGCCACTTCAATTTCCACAAGGCAAGATACAGTCAATTTAGAAAACTATAAATGGATAGTCTTCATCAGAACGTCACGTCACAGAGGGGTATAAACACCCTCTTAAACACCAGGTAACTTAGATGAAAGACTAGAAGACATGCTAATCAAACTCACAGATTACACACAACTCAGAGGAGTGAAGAAAAACTTTGTGACCTGTGATTCACAAAGATATCCTGCAGCTAGAACAATGGCTAATTCAAACAAGATTAATGAAGAGAAATACAAAGCTATGCATTTAGGTTAATTCTACCTAAGTAGGTAATGGAGGAGGACTTCGAAGATTCTCAGTTCAGTATGCATCAGAGTATAACAGGCATGAGTGCCTATGTATGAAGTTCAATATTCCTATCAGGTAAAGAGATGCCTTCAGTGAAGTCTGCACTGCGAAACTACATGAGCAATAAAATCCAAGCTAAGAAAAGAAATGGAAATCACAGCATATAATATAGATATAGCAGGGTTGGGGGCACTGCCTAGCATGGAAGAGAAGGGAAAAATCAAGATTTCACAACTATTTTCAAATAGGTGGCAAAAATGTCATCTAGAAGAGGCCTGAAACTTGAGTTTTGTGATTCTGACACAGAAATAACAGGTAGGAATGAGGAACAATACATTTCAGCTTAATATGAGAATAAACTTCACTAACAAACAATAGCTGTCTAAAAATAGAATAAACCTTGCTAACAAATAATAGCTATCTAAAAATAGAATAAACTAAATCATTAAAGGTATCTGAACAATTGCTGAACATAATTTAGGGATGACAGAGTAGAAAAGTCTGCCTCCAGCATAAAGATGAACTAGAAAAGGTATGTACCTTTAGAGTTTAAAGCTATGATTCTTTTAAACCCATCTCCAGAGGGGTTTTTTTTCCTTACCTTTTTGTTTTGCCTTATCTATAGTTAACAGGAATTAGTATCACTTGCAGATGAGAGACAAATAAAGAGACTGCATACTTCAGATTCTTTAAACTGATAGTCTAAAGAGAAGCATGTTTAAGTTTATAAGGGTGAAAATATACTCCACAAAAAAATGGTAAGTAATCAACTCTGGATGGTTGTATTTCAAGGGGTAATTTGCTTCTTTATGCTTTCTTACAAGTACTGAATTTTCTGCTGAGTATATATTATCTTTATAAACAGAAAAAATATTTCCAACTTTTTAAAAATTGGCTTGATTTTTAAAAATATTTTGAATATTTTCTGTGAATCAGAAAAGATTCACAGAAGAAATGATATTAGCTCAAAGGATATACCTATTTATGAAAACCCTTAAGAGTTTATACTGAACAATTACCAATGGTTAAAAATGTTTATGAATACTTTAATATAAATTCAAAGCTAAGAAAATGTGTCTGAAACATTTTCTACCCTGACATGGTGGCACACCTATAATTCCAGCACTCAAGAGGCTGAGGCAGGATGACTGCTGTAAATTCAAGCCTAGCCTAGACTACATAGAATATTCTATCTCAAAAAAGTCAAGTAAAACACTTCTAAAAGATATCCCAAATAAAGTATTTATATGACAACAGTATTAAAAAGTATTACCTATAAGCACTAGTAAGAAAAGAGGTCCATAATACAAGGATAAATGAAAGACCAAGGTGCAGAATTATACACATGGTATCCCATTTTTGTTTTAAAAAATGGAAACTGTTCACATGAGCTTAGAAAAAGCTTAAAAGGCTAGACATCAGTTAACAATATAACATCTGCACAGCAGGAAGGGTGGCAGGGAAAAGGGATGATTTATTTACCACATAAATTTCCATTCTGCTCAAATCCTCTTTTGTAAAACAACCATGTTTTACTTCAATCAGCTTTTTAAATCACTAAATATTCCTTAAAATAATAATAAAAATAAGTATTTGTATAGTCACATTTCATACCTAAGTTTTTTTGTTTTTGTTTTGTAGTTCTAGTTATCAAACCCAGGGGCTCACATGTGCCAGGCAGGTGATCTACCCACGAGCTACAACCCCAACCCCCAAACACAATTTCTAGTCTCAAATCCCTTCAGAGTTTCTTATTCTTAATCCTTCATTAACACAGAAGACTGGAGCTAACAAGTCAACTTTATATATACAGAGCCCACCAAAAAAATGTATACACACTTCGGGAAAAGAAAAATAGTATAATGTTTTGTCAACGGATAGTGTTAGCCTCATATGGGTGACCCTAGAGGATGTCGTACATCGCAGAAAACCCACCACACTGCCGGCTTTTAGGGAAGAAAATGAAAACGCACATGCACCAATCCCAACGACCAAGGTTACCCAACCAACAGTTCACCGTGCTAATAAATGTTTGGAAGCTAATGGTCATCACTTTTGAGCACTTCTTGTAACTGTAGAGGCCAAAGGTAACTTGTATTAACCTCATGATGTCTCAATACATCTAATATTAAAATATTTATACAAATTCTTCTTTTCCAGAAGTGTATATATTTTCTGGTGGACTCTGTATGTATGTTCAGCCTCTGAGCAAACCTGTTAATGTGTGAATTTTCTTCCAGGCATAAATCAATGAGCCACAGTTAGATAACAGGGCATACTTTCCCAAATTTATTTTCTTCAATAGAATGTGTTCTTTTCGAAATATATAATCCATAGTCATTTTACAGCACCAATGTGCTAAACACTACAAAAGACTGCACAAAATTTGATATATCACTGCATAAAGCAGAGACTGCCTTTTTAGACTATTATCTTTAAGTTATTTATTGTTATCTGGGCATCAACTAGGAAAACTTGCATATCTTTGCAAAAACTTTCCCAAGTCTTTTCCAGAGAGAACAAAACAACAGATTTCCTCCAAGTTATGGAGCCACAGCCCTAATCACTGAACAACTGTTTCAAGTAGTTTACTCTCCTTTAAAGCAGCTTAACTTTAATCTGAAAAAATATTCTTTTCATCATATGGCAATTTGAGTCAGGAATTTTTACAATCAAAATCTTTAACTGGGAAAGGCACTAATCTCTGGAAATTTCTCACTGTTGCCAGGTAAGCAGAAGCAAACCTAAGAAGGGTTTAGAAGTGGCCTGGAGTAGACCCAAAAGTCTGGCTAATGAGCATTTCCTAAGGACCTCTTACGATCGTGTAAGATAGAACATCAAGGAAACTTTCACATTGTCGACCAACCCCTCACTTTACACAATTGGGGTTTAGTGGCCCTGAGAAGGAACTTGGTCTGTCCAGGTCACGAGGCAAGTTACTGACAAGTTTGTAACTTAGTTTTCTGATCTTTCAGCCACTCTTCTTCCTCAAGCTTCCTTGTAAAGATGGCAACAATGGGATCAGAGACCACAGAGAAAACAAACCTATTACTATTCTAAAAACTGTTTATGGTTTTCAATTTTTTCTAAAAACTAGATGAAAGAGAAGAGATCAGAACACTCTCAGAAGAAGAAAATGGTAGAATCAGATTTACCTTGCCTGACTCCACAACAGGAGAGGCCAAGGGCTGAGTCACATAGAAGGATGACTTTTTAAAAACACAACACATGATTTTTTAAAGAAGTCTGAAATCCTAACTCGGGACAATATTCCAATATATCTGAAGCTGCTGAAAAAGAATTACCGGTATAGGGCTGGGAATGTAGCTCAGTGGTTCTGCCACCTGCCTCCCAAGCACAAGGTCCCAAGTTTGATCCCCAGTACAAAAAAAAAAAAAAAAGAATTACCAGTACCATAAAGGATTAGTCTTTCATTTTAAGCAGGATGGAGTGTTAGGAGGAAAGTGGAGTCAAGGAAAAAAGCTGAAGTAATCCAAGGTAAGCTGAAGAAAATGGCTCCAAGGAAAAACCACTGGCAAAGGGAAACACAGCTACTGTGGACACTCCACAGGAAAAGTGGAGAGGACCTGAAAAGGCTGTACAGATAGAAGGATAAAAAGGGAGATGACTGCAGTTTTAGATAACTAGAATCCCAAGGCCTTTGAGAAAACTATGTTAGTCCAATCCTGATATTTTTCCTGATAACTCAAATCATCTTGTATTTAAAAAATTAAAAACCTTAAACATAATGTACTGGGGGGAAACTTTGTTAAATCCTTATGAAGATGATCCAGTGAATGCCATTTACTAATAACATGAAAGATCCATCTCCTAGTTTTCCAAGATATAAAATCCCTTCCTCCTACTTCACAAGATTTTTTTGGTTTTGGTTTTTGTGTTTTGTTTTGTTTTTTCCTTTTTGAGAGAGAGTCTCATTATGTAGCTGAAGATGACCTTGAAATCTCCACGTAGACCTAGCAGGCCTCAATATCACAATCCTCCTGTCTCAGCCTTTCCACATGCTGGGCTTATAGGTGTAGGATACCACACCAGGCTCAAAGGACTGTGTTGAGAAACAAACTACACCCATGGAAAGAACCTACCTCAAAGTGCCTAACTCACAGCAAGTGTTCAAAAGTTGGACCTTAAACATACCAACTGTCTGCTCAGCAAAATGTCCCTGTGCTTAAATGTAACTTCTCTCTGCCTTTCTCATTTATGGCTTCCTTTATCAGCAGGCTCACATCTACAAGCTGTCCAGAAAGCATAAAGACCACTGTTCTGTAACAGGCAGCCCTGTTTGGGTTCACAAAACCAATCTGCTATGGAACGAGATAGAAAAGTTACACAGTGGGCCCCTGCCCAGTCACACGACCTGCTTTTGCTTTACCCCGGGGCTTGATAAGCACTTTCAGTTGAGGACTGTTCCCCAACTCCACCTCACTCCATGCAACTGCTCACCCCTGAGCACTACTTCTGCAAAACTCAATTCTAGGCCTCATTTCCCTCAAATTCAGATCAACCTGGATGCTCTACTCTCAGATTTAGCCTTATACTACTCACTTCCCATTCATTACAGTTGCTTTTGTAATGGGTTTGCTGTTTTTCTAAAAACTCTTTCTCTTTTTCCTCCCTCCCTCCCTCCCATCACTGTGACCAAACAGCTCAGTTAGAAGCCTTTTCAAAATCATTGGGGGGGGGGGGGGGCGGCTCAGTGGCACAGCACCTGCCTAGCAAACATAAGGTCCTGAGTTTGATCCCCGTTACTGAAAAAAAATCATATTAATAGGGGTTTAGCTCAGTGGTGGTGCAAGTGCTTAGCATATAAGGCCCTGAGCCCAATCTTCAAGACCTCCACCCCCCAAAAGAACCTCATTAAGTGGCTTCAGTTTCCTCCCTCCAAGCTTCAGTCTAATCAATCTTGGCCTTTTCCTTCCACTCATCAGCCACAATTCACACAAGTAAAATATAAGCATGAGGGTCTTTCATCAGTAAAAAGCTGAATACACTGAGCTACAGATATTTCTACCCAAGTACTCAATTTCTCAAGTCTCCAAGTATCTGAATGATATTGGCAGGAATGCCTTTTTCCCCTAACCAATTTACCTCTGTACTCAACTTCTTACTCCAGTTGAAAATACATGCTATTCAAACATGGCAGCAGCCTTTCCATGTCTAATTTTCTACCGTTTGATGGATATGATACTTGGGCAGTATCAACAGTCCAAAATGTCAGCAGACTTTGACAAGACTGAATTTCTGAAGATATAGAAGCATGTTATATAGTTCTTAACAGCACATAGTGGTCCACCTTCTATGTAAGAGCCATTCGATCCATTTAACTGAATTGTGAAACAAGATAAAAGAGCACTAAACTCTGCTTCATAAAAGTGAAGCACAGAACTGCAGGCATAGTTCAGTGGTAGAACACTTGCCTACCATGTGCAAGACTCCAGCACTACCAAAAAAAAAAGAAAAAGTGAACCACTAGCTGTGTGACAGATTCTTGGGAGAATGTAGCTCCTAGCTGGTAATAAACATTTATCTTCCTGTCTACCAACTCCATTAAACTGTGCTCATACATGAGGTTGGAGGTGTAACTCGGTAGTAGAGCACTGTTTAGTGTGCATTAAGGCCCTGGATTCAATCCTCAGCACCTAAATAAACAAATAAATATAGTATATTCATATATGATTATATATACACATTGAAGACAGAGCTTGCCATCTTACCCTAAAAAAACAAAACAAAACAAAAAAAACTTCTCACAAAGCCCATTACTTAACAGCATGCTCAGCCAACTTTAAATGTGAACTGAGAAGTGGTATTTGATAGAGCAAAAGACAGGAGTTCTGGGATCAATTATCACTCTACCAGTAACCGCAAGGAAGTCAAAATCTTGCTTAACAGGTAAACAGAATTATTCTCCAACTTAATCTTGTCAAACTACAATGAACTTTATTACACTGACGAAACAAGTGAAATTATTTTCAATAGTATGGCTTTTTAAATCCAGACGTGGGGAGGCTGGGGCAGGCTGATCTGGAATTCCAGGCCACCCTAAGCTACATAGAGACCACATCTCAAAAAAACAAAACAAAAAATTGGGAAGGGGTGCAGATCGAACCCAGGGCCTCAGGCACAATAAGCACACTCACTCCATCACTGCAGTACATCATTAGCCCTATGACACTGTTTACTGATCAACATTCTTAAGCTAAATACCCACTCATTTTTAATAGTCCCCAATGCCGTCAGAGTCAAGGAAATATGTCAGTAGGTCATACTATATGAAAATCCTTCCAATCCTAAATCTCCCTTATTTTCTAAGAATAAACTCAGGGAGATTCAAGCATCACAAATCTACCTCCACCCAACCTGCTGCTGTATTCCAAGCAGAGCGAGAGAGGATGTGATGTGGCTACTACAAAACAAAAGTAGTTCCCAAAAGTAAGTTTGTGGAGAGGGAAAAGCTCAGGAGCTCAGCATGCAGGGCCTCTACTCTACTAAAATGACCTGAAGTGGAGGTAGCACCAGCCTGTGAAGCAATCTTTGTTTTAGGATTTGCGAACCGAGTTTGCCAGACTTTCTTTTTCTTTGTCCCTAACTAGCCCTGCCCTGGTCAGAAGTCACCTCTCTTATCAGTAGGAAGGGAAGTTGGACTAGATTCTCAGGCCAGAGCAACCTCCCCCTCCGACCAGGGGTAACACCTAAGCTCCCCACCCCAGAGATCTGAGGCCTCTCCTGGCACAGTGGAGCGGCGCTTCTCTAAGAGGGCCTAACAGCAGGAAAAGCGGTTCCAAAATCACACTAGCCTCTCTTGGTAAGGGAGTACGCCAACTTCCCCAGGGATGGGAAGGCAGACAGTAAGGGTCACTCCTGCAGGCAGGTGCGGACCTCGGGTAGCACAGCCTCACGGAAGAGGACCTGCAGGACCGCACCCGAGGGAACCAGGGGTGCAGGCTGGGGCCCGGGCCGCCGCTAACTCACCCACAGGCTGCTGAAGTAGTCCAGCCCGCGGCAGATGAGCACGCCCGCGTGCGCCAGCAGCACCTGCACGCCCAGGTAGCTGCCCAGGCAGTAGAAGCCGTAGAGCAGCGGGCCGCCCGCGCCCAGGAACAGCAGCAAGCGGCGGCGGCGCAGCGCCTGCTCGCCCAGGGCCTCTACACCATAGTCAGCGAAGCAGAGCGGCAGCAGCAGCACGCCCAGCACGATGGGCGTGTGCGCGCGGTGCAGGCGCTGGAGCCAGTGGCGGCCCAGGCGCGTCAGCGAGCTCTTGAAAGGGTGCAGGAAGGTACCGCACAACACGGCCCACAGCAGCGGCCTCAGGAAAGCCTCGAGGATGAAGTAAACCAGCACGGCAGCACCGCAGCACAGACACACGAACAGCACGGCCCCCGTGTTGTAGAAAGCCTGTTTGATGGGCTTGTCGAAACGCAGCGCGAGCGGCGCTGTCCGCGGAGTCTCCCCGCTGCCCAGCCCCGCCGCGCCTGGGGCTCGGGGCTCTCGCCGAGGGGAGCCCCGCGAGCTAGGCGCCCGGAGAGGGCCACTGCGGTCGGCCATCGCGCCTCTGCCGCCGCCGAGAGGCGGTCCTGCTACCCGGGGAGGAGTGCAGACGAGGCTGGTGGCGCCGCGCAGCCTTGTGGGAGTAGTAGTTCCCGGCTGGCTGCTGAGCACATGCGAGACTTTCAGGAAACTACCACTCCCAGGGGGAGTAGCGTGAGCTCCTCCGCCCCCTTGGCCCATTGGTCCCCGCGGGGTCCTGGAGAGAAGTTTCTGAGGCTAAGAGCCGAAAAAAATCTTTTCTTCCCTCTGGTTGATGTCAACTTCTCCAGAGCCGGAATCCCCATACACGGAACACTCAGGCTGCACATTAGAATTCCATGGGGAGTACTTCAAAAGATCGATACCCAGATTCCACAGTACTCTACTGACTCATTTAATAAACTCAAGTATTCGCTCTGGTGTATTTGACAGAATTTTAAGTAGTGCTCAACAAAGTGGCAGTCCCTTTGTAAATCCCTCTCTTCTATGAAATGAGTTCATTTCATCCTCAAAACCCTACGGACGTGTTATTAACCTAATTTCACAAACAGAAAAAGTGAGGCAAAGGGAAGTTAAGCACCTGGCCAAGGTCACACTGCAACCAAGTGGCAGAGGTGGGATACAAACTCAGGACCCTATGTCTGTAACTCTTATCTTTTGTAGGAACTGGTCTTACAAAGGAATCTTTTAAAGCCCCTCGGGGGATTGTAACCTGCACTATTTGTCAGATTGTAATCTGACAACTCTTTGAGCAGATGTTAGTGTGGCAGCGATCTAAATTCTTCAAAGCGCCCTCTGTCAGAGTCTTAAACTGCCACTCTTTTGTAGGACCTCCGGGTACAAGGACAATTAAGCCCCCAATCTCCACGTCCCCTCCATCTCATCAGGATGATTATAGTAGTAGCTCTTGCCTGAGACCTGCTGTGAAAAAGAGGAAGCTCTGAAAGGTGCAGCGTGCTTCTGTTTAGCTGTTGGGAAAGCGCTAGGATTCAAGCCTGCTACCCATAAAATATCCCAAACAGCGTATTTGTTTTAAAATATTAAGAAAATCTTTACTGAGCACTCAATATATGGGTGTTCAAACCTTATATATTATCTCTTTCTTGTTTTCAACAAGGCTTCACGTTAAGGATAATTTTGTTTCTCTTTTAAATTAAACAAGACAGGCTTCAGATGAAAAAAACTGTTGCTTATTAAGTCTTGGAGACAAAGGCATTCAGTAAATGACATAAAAGTTCCTTTCCATCTCATTTATAGGTTTCAGGTCACATTTTTTCAGGTGATCTTTGGAGTTCAATTCAGTAAATGTTTTGCTTCAGTCGTTCCTAGATTTTGCTTTGCTGCTTAACCATTTTATTCAGGTTTTCCAGATCATAATTACAAACTGTGGTCAGTGTCCATTTTCACTGGCTCAAGCTCTTATTTTATATAACAAGGTCTGTCTCTATCCCCCAAAGTCCTCAGTTTTTCTAAGGAGACCCAAAGGGAGTGCCTCACTTATGCTTAGGAACATGAGTCAGCCATCAACCATTCATGTCACCCTGTTGCCCAACACAGCTTCTGGATTCTGGATCTCTGAGAGGTTGCATTTTTTAATGTTGATCACCACTCTGCCATCTTCCTTCTCCAAAAAATATTTATTTGTAAATCAAGTCCTGCCGGTTTTGAATCCTAAAAGTGACATGTTTGTGCATTTTTTGCACTGCATTAGTGTCACTTCAGCCTCTAACGGGTCTCTCTGTCTACCCTCTCACTCCATCCACTCCAATCAATTACAATGCAGCTAGCATGATCTTTCTAAAATATAAGATGATCCTTTCCTCAACCCTCCTTATCCAGTAGGGAAGTGTCTCAACTCTTCAGTACAAATCATAAGGTCTTCTGTGATTGGGCCTCTCTTCACCCTACCTTACTTCTTTCCACTCCTTGCCTCGTCCTTTATCCTGTAGCCTTGTGATGAAAAGAATAATGGCCTCCCAAAGATATCCAGGCCCTAATTCCTTACATGGTAAAAGGCATTTTGCAGACTTTATGTTGAGGATCTCCAGATGGAGAGACTGTCCTAGGTTATATAGGTGGGCCCTAAACATAACCAAAAGTGTGTTTATCAAAGGGAAGAAGGCTACTACAGAAGAGAAGAAGAATCTGACCACAGAGGCAGAGATTGGAGTGAGCCACAGGCTAAGGAATGCAGATAGCCACAAGAAGCTAGAAGAGCAAGGAATGGTTCAGAAAGAACCAGCCCTGTCAGCACCTTGATTTGAGCTCCATAAGATTAAGTTGAGACATTTTTGTTGCGTTAAGACATTATATTTGTGGTAATTTGTTGTAGGAGCAATAAAGACCAAATACAATAATCATTGTTGAACGACTGGTTCCAAAACACATCCTGTTGGTCTTCTGAGGTTACACTCTCCTTTCTTTATCATACCTCTCTGTGCACTCTGCCTGTGTTTACTCCTACCCCTTTGGCTTAATCAGTTTGGGATCCTATTACAAATTACTACAGACTGGGTGATTTAAATAACAGAAATTTATTTCTCATACTTGTGGAAGTTTGGGAGATTTGAGACCAGGGTGCCTGCATGGTTGTGTTCTCGTGAGGACTCTCTTCCCGGTCCAAAGATGTCTGACTTTCTGTAGTGTCCTCACATGGTGGAGGTGAGCGCTCCCTTGTCTCTCCTTCTAAAAGCACTAATCCCACCAGGAAGGTTCCACTCACATGACCTAATTATACTCTCCAAAGGCCTCATCTACAAATGTCACCACACTGGGGATTATAGCTTCACCAAATGAATATTGAGGGCATAAAAACATTCAGTCCAGAGTACCCTTCCTTAAGACTCAGCCTGAGTATCACCTGGTTTCCTGGTTGTACCAGTCCAGGGTAGGACCCCTGCTCTAGGTTTGTACTGGACATGAGCACTCACCACAAACTAATGTTAAGGTGTTTATATGTCTGCTTCCCAAGCAGGCTGTGACCCCATTGTGGGCAGAAATCTAGAGCTGTTCTTCCCAGAGTTCTCTGTATGTAGTTGTCTAGTACAGGGATTGGTGGCTAAGAATCCTCAATAAATAGTTATTAAATAAATTAATGAGTGCTTCAGGCTGCTGGATGCAGGTGTCTTTCCCACTCAGTCAAGTTCACTTCGGTTCTCTTACAGCTTATCCCCTGGTCCTTGTATCTGGATTGACCCCTAAGAAATCTCCAAGTTTAATAGAAGCTTGGGTTAAGTCTTACAACTAGGCTCCCCACTAATGATACTGCAAAATAATTATCACAGGGTACAACTAGAATATCAAATAAAGACCAAATGTTTGGGGTTTTGTGGTGAGGACTAGAGTATATATTATTATATACTCTATAATATATATTATTCTATAATGTAGAATGTGGTAGTGCCTGATTCTTTTTATAACATCCCATTCCAAGAGCTTTTCAACCTAGTCTCAATAGAACCAGCACCTCAGCTACTACATTTTGCAATTTCTATCCCTCTCTGATGATTCACAAGGCTCTACAACTAAACTCTTAACTATTCTTAACATTTACAGTAATATGATTTAGTTGTCAATAAGGTTCCTAATTTAAATTTTTAGAGCTAGCTATGTGCAGTGAACTAGCTGATACACCTGAAATTGGGTTATAGACCTCTATTTACTACTACGTGATAAAGGATTAAGTTGAAGCTGTAAACATGAGCTTATTTTGTACATTGCTTCTCTACAGTGATCTTTACCTGACTGTAACAACATGACTTTCCTCTTTGTCACACAAGACATGATATCAACTTCTCCAAGGTCTATAGATTCAGGGAGACATAATGATTGAAAAGATTTAAAACAAAGAAACAGAAAACCAAAAATGCACCACAGCAAAAGGTTAAGGAATTATAAACTAATTTTAATTACATCAACAGGAAGAATTCAAACTATGTTGAGAATTTATATTCTAAAGTTTAAATCTAGATAATACATTCTAACTATAACATAATCATTTAAAGATAAATGCATTTATGATGGTAAATGGACAGAACAATCATTTAGGTAGCATTTAGGAATATTGCTACAATTGTTTTGCATAAATAGAAATCCATGTCTTTATTAGTAATGTACTACACATCTTAGAGTAAAAATTCACATAGACAGGCTTATAAATATACATTTATATATAATCTCAAAAATCAATCACAATTGAACATTAGGTACGCAATTATTATAAAACAAATATAACCCATTAATGTCTATTTAAAGGCATAGTTTTTACAAAATAGTATTTATAGACAGTCTCAAAAAAGTGTAATACTCCTGGAGCCAGAGTGTTCCAGTATATCAACACGTCAGTGGGAATAAGGCATATGGGGAAGCTGTGTTCACTTTTCCATGCAACCAGGACATTCTAGGTGATGAAACAGTAAGGACTCGAGTGACCTGGGTGAATGCCACACCCACCGAGCACCCCAAAACCTTAGAGAACTGATTACTCTCCAGAAGAATCAAACTGAATGGTTATTCACTCAATAGAACATAGTGAGACAAAACAAAACTTCACTAAACATCAGTGTATTTTAACCAAAAGAATCCCAAAAAAGCTTAATGTATCACATAAATCCTTGGTTTCCAGGTAAATTTAAAATCACATTAGCCTAGCTATCATTTTCATGAAAAGAAACTTACATGCAAGTCATCTGTTAAACATAAAAATAGAGAAGAACAACTTGAAACTAAGTAATCTGCTAACTAAATAAAGAATCTAATTAACTATGAAGAGTATATAGATTCCATTAATATGCCAATTGCTCGGCCAATATTAATCATGGTTTCTTAACTAACAGTATAGAAAACTCAAATTCGAGGATGATACTTCATATGTTCTTTTTTTTTGGAGACAGAGTCTCGCTATGTAGTGCAGGCTGGCCTTGAACTCTAGGCAATCCTCCTGTCTCAGCCTCCCAACTGCTGGGGTTACATGTGTACGCCACCATGCCCAGCACTTCATATGTTCATAACAACTCATATAATATTCAGTGGAAGAGGCAAGGCTCAACTAAAGATGCAGGAATTCCTATATACAAACTAAATTGCTATAAACTCAAGTGCACATTTGCCTGTAACATACATAATGTTTTATCTCTTGGGTTTTAAAATGGTCAAGGAATCAAAAACAGAAACAATCCTGACAAAGATCTTAAAATCCCTGTGGTGTGTTTATATATATACATTTATGTATAAATATACTCACACCCCATCCCATCATGTATGTACAAATATATATATTATATATATATATAAACACACTGCGAACAATCAAACTGCTCGCTGAACAAAATCAATTCTGTTTAGAGTACAAGGATATACAAGTATATACAGCAACAAAGTATGTACATCTCAGGATTTGGCCTAGTGCACTGGCCCTCAAACATTTTTCCCTCATATAGAGGATGCATACCATGTGTAAAATTCCCATGGGTGTGGCATATTTTGATAAATTTCTACAGGGAAATAAATTACTCTGAAGCATCGAAATTCCCACCATGAAGGGCAGTTCAACAATAAAATGGTTCACGATTGCCACAGCTTAGGTAAAACAAAACTGTAGCTTATCAGCTCTGTACTTTACTGCCACTTCAAATAGAATATAAGCGCATGGAAATGCCATTATGCCATTTATTTATAGTAATAAATCAATTCTGAATTATTATAAAAACAAATTAGGCACTAACTGATATTTTTACAATTGACCAGGAGTAAGTTACTGGCAGTATAACTTAAAACTGATTGTGATACACTCATGTGTCGCTGATGGAACGAATGTGGGAAAATCATAATTCAGGAGCCAAACCCAGCCTGCTTCCTTTTTTTGTTCAGCCTGCAAGGTAAGGATGGGTTTTGCATTTTTAAACAGCTATTAAAAATCAAAAGAACATTTCTGATATATGAAAATTATGTGAAATTCAAATTCAGTGTCAATTATGTTTTACTGGAATATAGCCATGCTCATTCATTTATGTACTATCTGCAGCAGAGTGGAAGACCTGAGAGACATAGAGCACAAAGCCAAAAATATTTACAATCTGGCTCTTTACAAAGAAAGTTTACCAACCCCTGGGCTACAGCTAAGAATGACACATAACTTCAGTGGTAACTTCTCTTAAGACAAAATCCTGAATATAAACAGTAAACTTAATGAAAGAAATAGTAGTAAGTACCATCTGGGATAGAATCCATCCCTGATATGCCCAAACTTCCTGATTTCTTTAATAACAAACACCAGCCCAAGATAATTAAATACAGCCCCTACATTTTGTCTGAAATCATGTTTATAAATCTGCCTTCGAGACTACAATTGGGTAATAAAAGGGCATTGGGTTCCAAGTTAGAAGACGAACCACAATTTTAGGCAAGTCACTTTTTAACTGAGACAAATACATTCTTCCAGTTTTGCCCAATCTGTGTATTATTTTTAAAAATCTGATTAAAAACACTAAAATGATTGAAAAAATAATTAAAATGTTTTAAAAGAAAAGAAAGTTGGTAGAAAGTAAAATATGCTCCTTTCCCCAAATATAAATATAAAAGTCCTCCTACTCATTGTAAATTACAAGGATAGTAGGGTCCATTTAATAAAAATTTTAATAAATTTTCCTGAAGGTGCATGAATGTGTAGGAAATCATGTCACCTCCTAGGACTTTGCTGCTCCCTTGTAAAATAAGTACACTGAATTTATTAAATGGTCTCTAAAGTCCTCACCAGTCCTGATAACTTATGTCAAATGACTAGCCTCGGTTTATTCTTCTGTAAAACTGTATTAATAGAAATATCCTATGAGAATTAAATGAACTGATCCATGTGACTTGCTTAGAACAGCACTAAGCTCGTTTAGTTAGCATCATTATTATTATTCAAACATTTTACAAAAGCACTGGTGGAGCAATTCCCCTGTGACAAGTATTATATTAGAAAGTGAGAATACAGAGGTAAAGTAAGAGTTCTTTTCTATTAGGTAAAAATGAATAAAGTTAAACTCCATAGAGTTCTACCTTCAGCATGTCTATGAATTGATGGTTCTCTGAGGTGACGGTCAAATGCTATTCTACATCCCTACTCTGTGAATTATTATGTCTGAGCAATGATTATTGTTTTAAAATGTCAACTAATCTTCACTGTAGGGCAAAATAGCATTGTTACTAATGATTTTCTATTTATGTTTCAAAAGACAAAGTTCAGTGTTTGCTAAAAGAATTGCTTATGGTTTGATCACAGGTGGAAGAATATACAAATGTTGGCCAATCTAATATTTATATGAAATACAGGCCTTCTGAACCAAATTTGCCATAACAATATATATTCGTTTATTTACTTATTTCACAAATATTTGCTGAGTACCTATTATGGAGTAGGCCTGCTACAGAGATGAGTAAAGAGAAAGCGTCCCTGCATTAAGGAGTCAGCAGGAAGAAGAAAGCCAGCAATTATTATGAAGTATGATGAGTATTATGATGAGAAATCCCAGTAAGCCAAGGGAGCACTAGGCAGAGACCCAAACCTACCTAGTCCAGGGGACTGGAAGAAAAAGTAATTAAGCCGTGATGAATAATACTTTATTATCCACGGAAGGCAGAGGATGTCTGAACACTTGGAACACATGAGAGTTAAGAGAGGGGAGGTCTGGGGCTATGGTATAGCTCAGTAAAACATTTCCCTGGCATGTATATGCCCAAGGCCCTGGGTTCCATCCCTATCACTGCCAAAAGAAAAAAATACAAAATCTGTAGAATTAAGAGCCCTTCACGGGCCAGGGATTTAGCTCAGTGGTTCTGCCGCCTGCCTCGCAAGCGCAAGGTCCTGAGTTTGATCTCCGGTACCAAAATAATAATAATAATAATAATAATAATAATAATGATAATTAAGAGCCCTTCAGTCTTGCTGGGATATACCAATGGGGAAGAAGGAACAATATTGGAGTTTAGCAAATGGTTTGCATTTTACTAAGAGAAAGTCATTGAGAGTTCTAAGCATAAATATGCAAAACTGGTAATCAAAGTACAGTTAGTGAAGTAAGTAGCTTGACTTGAAATGTAAGCATTAGGAAACTCCACTCATTTATTCCTTCCCTTCTTGTTACTAACTGAAGTCTCTCTTTTGTTTTAACCCATTTATAGCTCAAATATTATACACATGAGAGTAAAATATAAAAATATGTGCTTTCCTATTTACAACATGGGTGCCTGCATCATCAACAGCCTCACTCCTAACCAGTCGCTGAGAAGGCGCTACACAGGCTATGGTCAGCCATGACCAGAGGGCTTAGTGAAGAGGCAGTGGTACTCAAGCGGAGCTGTGGACTTGAACCCTGGGTCTGCAATTCCATTGCTCACCTGTTATCATTTCATCTCTCCCATCTGCAATGAGGAGTATATCTCCAACATCCCTTGGAAGTACATGGTAACTGCACAGTGTCACAGAATGTAACAGTTTTCCTTATTTGGTTCAGGTCCAGAAGAATTTGAAAGCCTTCCCCACAGACAAACTTTTACCTCTGACATGAATCTTGAAGATGGCTTTAGAAATCGAAGGCTCCATGTTGCTTAATCACAAAGTTGGAACCAGCAATGGGGCCATGTCAGAGAAATCTAGAACATTGCAACGGAAATGTCTCAGCAGCGTAACTATGCTCAGAGAAACCTCTCCTCTAAATGGGCTGTTAGCACAAACATTTGGGACAAAGGAACATTTGAGTTCATTTGTTAAAAGGAAACACATTACATCAAGGCATCACTATAAATTACACTGGCTGCCAGTCTAATTCACAACCCTAAAAATTTTGAATTAATACTCCAGGTGAGTTCACTTTATAGGTCATTTTCCCATTTTCTAATTAAAAAACAAAAAAATCTCATGTTAAATTTTTTGCTCCAAATCTCAACAATCTCCAAAATGTTGAAGTATTATTAAAACACCTTAAATTTTTGTTAAGATAATTTATCTGTTATAACACATACTTAATATATGCTAATTTTGACAACAGAATTGTCTATAATCATAAATGAATACCTACCTTAGTTTATAAAATACAGTGGCAGAACAGCCTAAATTCTAACTGCTAAGAATTCCCGTAGTTTCATCATTAAAATCATTTTACATCCTCAGGAATGCACACAATTCTGTTTCTAACTTTCCCAAACAGCAGTACAAAAATATTTTTTCATAACTATGCACTCATTTTGAAAAATTTTAAAAGAAATATAATCATTTTCACGTTACTGCAATCTCTCCTATTTCCCCCTCAACTGTGTAAACATCCGAAAGCACTTATGCTGTACAGGAATTTGCTCAAAAGGCTGCCTGTGAACTTCTGACTTTCAGTAAAGTTGTCCCCTAGTAACACTCAAAGTAATTCTCTTGGGCTGTAGCACTGACACTAAAGACCATTCAGAGACTTGATTTCTGCTCCTTGCTCATTCTCTACCTTGCTAAGTGTCATGTGACCAAGTGGCTGAGGCTACACAACATGTGGGTCATAAAAAGGCAGCCTTTCCCGATCTGAAATCCTATCAGGAAGATGGTACTCATAATTTTATCAAGCCAACACAGAGATATTGTGAAGCTCAAATTAAAAAAAAAAACACATTTGAAAGTGCTTACAAAAGTTTTAAGTACTTCCCAAAAGTAGGATCATTATTAAACAATCCTCTTGAACTAGAAAAGAAGCTTGTTCTTTCTTCTGAAAAGCTAAAATCATGAGTTGTTTTTAAATAACAGAAGCTAAATTTACACCGGGTATTCTTGGAAAATATATTTATACTAAAGGCTTTCCAATCCATTTACTCTCTTGACCTTGAAGCTGTGGTTAAGGAGTTCCCATCAATAAGTAGAAGGTCAGGGCAACAATGAGAAGCAAACAAAATGGAGATGAGAAGGTCTGATAGGCAGCTGAGGGCATAAAAATGTCTTCATACTTGTAAATACTGACGACGCGCTCGGACGCTGGTGGAGAGTCTATATCATGTCGGGTGATGGAGCCTTTAAGAAAGCGAAATAGAACATGAGAGGGCAGTTGGAAAAAGTACAGACTTAAAATGGTATATAGGCAAACAACAGAAAAGCTGAAGAAAAGTCTTCAGTGGTGAATACATCCATAGTGATTACAAAGATCCGGAATCAGGTATTAGAGTTATCATCAGAATTCTCTATAATTGTACATATAACAAAGAACACAGAAATTAGCTAAATTCATCCAAATAAATTGGTTTTCACTAATGTGCAACCCCACCCAACATCAGTACACTATTTGTCTCTCCATGGTATCCTAATTTTAAGACTGCTACTTAAATGGGGTTGTACAAATTCCTACTTGTCGTGTTTCTAGTGAGTTTCATCTTCTTTTTTTTTTTTTTTTGGTACCGGAGATTGAACTCGGCTCCTTGCGCTTGCGCAGCAGGCGGTGAAACCACTGAGCTAAATCCCCGGCCCAAGTTTCATCTTCTTAACACCACGTGGATAAAGTACATTTTGATTTCAAACAGCAAAAGCTACATATTTTTTTCTACTTCAATCTATCTTTTATATATGCAGCATCAGCAACTCCTGATGACATCAGCATCTCCCTTATAGATGGAAGCCTCTTTCATTGTCTGTAGGACATAAAGAAGTAGCCTGTCCCAGCCAGACCAGAGGAGGTGTGTGTCCATATGTCTGTCTGGTGGAATGGGGAAGAATAATACAGAAAACAGGATGACTATGAAACCAAACAAGTCTTTGGATGGGAAACTTTTTTTTAAAACCTGGTTACAAGTGGAAAGGGGAAAAGGATATGTGTAAAATATGGTTAAGGGCTGGCAGTGTAGCTCAGTAGTAGAGGCTTGCCTAGCATATGTGAGGCCCTGGATTTGATCCCAGCACCACCATTAAAAATAAAGAATAAAGAAATAAAAAGTGGTTAATAAGCTGGGCACGGTGGTGTGCACCTGTAGTCCCAGATACTGGGGAAGATAAGACAAGAGGATCACTTGAGCACAGGAGTTTGAGGCCAGGATGAGCAACCTAGAAAGCTCAACGCCATTTCTTTAAAAGGATGTGTAATAAGTCAAAGCTTAATATCAGTGCCTGGCCTCCTGAATAGCCATATGAAACTTGCATCAAGGAAACTAAGGCTTATGTATTCAGTGCAAAGGCCTTCTTAAGGCTAGGGCTCAGAGTAGGGTGTGTGTGTGTGTGTGTGTGTGTGTGTGGGTGTGTGTGTTACCTAAAATTGAACCCTGGGCCTTCACACTGAGCTACATCCCCAGCCTTTTTTATATTTTGTTTTGATACAGGGTCTCACTAAGTTGCTCAGGCTGGGCTACAGTTGCAATCCTCTTGCCTCAGTTTTTCAGAGAGAGATTATAGGCATGTGCCACCATCCCTGGCTAGAGTAGGGGTTTTTAAGGTGATTTCTGGTGGAAAAGCCCTGCTGAACTTTACATGTAAAGTCTCAGCTCCAGGGCTAGCACTTGTTAGCACAAATTCTTCAGGATTCTTCTCTCCCAAAAGTCCTCTCACTCCTCCAACCTCACCTCTCCTTCCTGATCACCTACAGAAGCTCCTAGACTTAACCATGTACTTCCAGTTTATGCTCCCTGTGAGGAAAATCCAGTCCATATCCACTTTGAGCCTGAACTCAAAGGTCATCCCCTCAAAGAGACCTTTAGAGAATGGTTAAGATTTGACCAATAGAGGGCCATTAGAAGGGTACTCAGGAAACAAGAAAAAAGCAAGCCTGTACCCTGGGTGGGAATGTGCCTGTTGTGCATGGAAACAGTGAGGAGAAAACAGAAGTCTTACAAAAATTTATCAGATAAAGCCACATATAATCGGAGAGGACTTTGAACATGAGGATAGAGCACCATATACATAAGAAGATGACCTTCTGAAATACAGTTGTCAGCCTTATCAGTGAGTTTACCTTTTATGGTTTCACTTTCCCACAGTCAATCAGGGCCCAAAAATACAGTACTGTGCAATAAGATATTGTGAGAGAGAAAATGAGAGATTAAATTTATATTAACTCATTATATCATTATTGTTCTTTTTTTTATTGTTGTTAATTTCTTATTTTAAAAACATGGTATACATAGGGTTTCAGGCATCTACTAGGACTTAGAAAATGTTCCCTGCAGATACCTAAGGGCCGCTGTGTAGCACTTTCCAATCTGCAAAGCAATTTCAAATATTTGTTTTCATTTAATCCTTTCAAATCTTATAAAATAGATACTATTATTATCTCCACTTTAAACATAAGGAAATGAAGTTCAGATTTTAGATAGTAGGATGAATATTATATAGCTATCAAGGGCAAGAACCAATACGCAAACTGTGATTTTAAAGATTCCAAATTCCGGCACTTGAATGAGTTCATTTCTCTAGGCTAAGATCTAATTTATTTCCCAGGATATTGAAAGTACTTGAAGATCCACTGAGAAATAAGTAAATGGGAAAGGTGTTTGAAATCTGGAGGTATCTATTATGCAATCTCCACAGCAATCAATGAAAACAAATTGAAAAAAAACACTTCTCAAAACCTGAGATCAGATGACACAACACAGAGTTGCTAAGCACACAGTAAAGAAAGATGGAATTAGCAGGAAGCAAGATGAGTTTCCTGCATAAGGACTGCAAACCAAACTCACTTCTTGGTCGGGCTCCTAAGCTGATCAACAAGGAGGAATGCTCAGACACAGTGTGACTTGATTTTATCTGTTGCTAAAAGGTCTCCTGATGTCCCTGGGTCTTTGCTGGAGAAATGCTGAAGAGCCTTGCCTCCTGAGGTGAGGTCATCCATGGGTCAGCATCACCAGGGAACTTGTTAGAAATACAGAATCTCAAGCCCATCCCCACCCAGGCCTGCAGAAGACTGTATTTTAACAATACAGCCAAGGAATCCCTCAGGCACATTAATATTTGAGGAGTAATGGGAGGGACTTATAAGATAATTTGGTGGATTTGTGACCACCAGAATAGTCCTAAAGTGAGCACTCATAACATGCTTGCAGTCAACCTCAAGAGAAATTTTTGTCTGTCCAGTATTTTTCTATTTGAGGATATGGGTTAAGGGTATTCACTGACTTTGGAGTCAGACAGACTTAGGACTGAATTTCAGTTCTTCCCTTAATTAGTTGTATAGCTTTGAGCAAGTTTCTTAATTTCTCGAAGATGAAGATAATAATGTCTAGACCTCTGCAGGTTGTGGTGAGGAGTAAGTGGAAACATTGTGAGAATTAAACAACCCATACCCCACACAGCAGACATATGACCTGTTTCATCAAGCACATAACTCACCACGTGCTATCTCATGATGCTCTAGCTTTGCACGTGTGTGCTCCTTGTCCTTGGGGATAAGTTCATCATAACCATCTGAAGAAAGGAGTCATAGCTCTTTTTCTTTTTATATTATTTGGAATGCTTAAGGCTGTCTGGTGCACACAATGTGTTGTCAATTAATAATAAACGTGGGCAGGGGATGTAGCTCAGTGGCACCGCGCCTGCCTTGCAAATGCAAGGTCCTGAGTTTGATCCCTGGTATCAAAATAATAATAATCATCATCATCATCATCATCATGGTAAGTCTGATGCTCAATGCAGATGCTGAAATGCAAGCTTACCTTGAATGGCTGGACCCCAGGCAAATAGGTAATACCAACTCAAATGGAGATCGACAATGGTTTCATCTCTGGGAACATTCACAGGGCGTTTAAATCTGCAGGTGACTCGATTGTTCTCAAAGACTCCTTCTTCATCTCTGGCAGGATTTCTCTGAATCTCCTTTGCCCACTGGCCCACATTATAAAAGTGCTGTATGCGGACCCTGCCATTGTCATCATGGACGCATGCCATGACATCATCACCACCCTAACATGGAAATGATTCAGAAGAAAAAAGTCAATTTGCCTTTTGCAAACTTTTCACTCAGAAGTACACATTCCATCACTTCCGTAATTTGAAATCCTATCAAAAATTATTTTAGGGCTGGGAATGTACCTCACCGATGAGGTACAGATATTGTTCATTTGCAATATCCTTTATAGTAAATGGATGTTTACTGGAGTTCTATGAGCTACTCTAGTAAATTAATGAAATTCAAAGAGGGGTTTGTGGGAACTCGGATTTTTACACAGGTCACAATTTAAGACTAGCAATTGGCATCTAAAGTGAGTATTAGTAGCTAGGCAGGTACAAGGTATGATGAAAACATAACAGAAAATGTGTAAATTTTTAAAAATTTTAAATTATTATAGTAAAAGACACATTGATATTAATATCCCTCTAAATAGTACCCCTTGCTTTGATCACACTAATAACCATTCTTGCCATGTTCTAAAGCAGTTCTTGAAGTCCTCTTTTATGTGTGTCTTTTCATGGCTGCCTTGATGTCCTGAATTGATTCAAAATGCTTAAGGCAATTTCTGTCAAGTAAAACTATTACAGTGCGTTCTCATTCACTTTTTTTTTTTTTTTTTTTTAACTAGATCTGGCACCATACAACTTCTGGCTCTTTCCTAAAGTCAAAATGACCATGAAAGGTAAAGGTTTTGAATTGATTCAGGACACTGAGGCAGCCATGGCAGTGTAACTAAAGACATTCACTAAAGAAGATTTCCAGAACCTTCAGAAAGTGGCAAGAATGATGGGATAAGTATGTTCAAAGCAAGGGGGAGTATTTTGAGGGGGATTAATGGCAATATATTTTTAACTATAATCAGTTTTTTAGAAAAGTTACCATATTTTTTCGATCATACCTCATGCTTTTAGGGACAATTACTTATGCGTGTGTGTGTGTGTGCGTGTGTGTGTGTGTGTGTAAGGGGTGCTGCCCCTTTAAATGACTAACATTCATTAAAACTTGGTTGTTGTTTCAGTTAAGGCTCTCCAAATGAACCATCCAACCAGTCACTCTGACTTAATCTTTTTAGGTAACTTAGAGTAAACTTTGCTATTATAATTCTACATTCTCTGCCCAAATGTGTCCCACTACTCATTTTTTTATAACATGTAATGTATCCTGTCTCTACAAGATGGCAAGTCTTTCCTACCTGAATAAGCAAAAGTTCTTCCAATAAAATCCCCTTGTGTTTTCTTTGTTCAAGATGATGCTGCTTTGGGAGTTATCCCTAGTGCTTTTTCCTTACTTGCCGCAAGTAATAAATCCTGGTTGTGCTTATCAGCTTTGTGTTCATCAAAGAATAAACCACTGCACTTGGTTACACAGAGACAGACTGACCTTTTGCTTGTGGGATCTTATGCTATCAGATATGAACTGAGGGCTGGGATTTAGGTCAATGGCACTGCACCTGCCTCACAAGCGCAAGATCCGGAGTTTGATCCCCGGTACCAAAAAATATAAATAAAAATGAACTGAATTAGAGGAGACCAGTTGGTGTCCATCAGAGAAGCGCTTGGTATGTAGCAAAGAACCACCACATATCTGGTCATAGACATGTTCAGTGTTGAGTGTATAAGTAGAGGGGAAAAACAGTTTGTTTCCAGTGCCTCTTAACTTCCGCGATGAAAAGAACATGTTTTGGTAGTGCATTCCAGACTGATTAGAGAAAACCTGAATCCAAACCATGGACTCCCATCTTGTACAGCTGGGCTCCACCTACAATGAGCTGAGCCCAATCAATGCACACATGTGTGATCCAGAAACAGTGTAAATGCTTTCTGCTTTTAGATATGCAGTCCTAGAGGCACTTCCTGCAGCATTACTGTGGACATAGCTTATGACTATGGCTCTACAAGCCACCTTATATTCTGATTACCAATCCTTCCACTTAAATTAGATTGAATATTTTACTTTATTATTTCATTTGTGGTACTAGGGTTTGAATCCAGGGTCTCATACATGCTAAGGAAGTAATCTATGGATGAGCTACAGTCCCAGGGCTTTTAAAAAATTTTATTTTATGACAGGGTCTTGCTAAATTGCCTAGGCTGGACTCAAACTTGGAATCATTCTATCTCAGCCTCCTGAGTACCTGGGATTATAGGTGTGTGCTTTGAATTTTTGAAAAACTTGCAGTAAGAGAGATGTAATAGGGCTGGGGATTTAGCTCAGTGGTTCTGCTGCCTGCTTCACCAGCACAAGGACCAGAGCTCGTTCCCCGGTTCCATAAAAAAAAGAGAGAGAGATGTAATATAAACATTATACTGCTTCTATCAATTAATTTGCTTTTAAAAATCTAAAAAAAGCACAGCAAACTAAAGAGAAAATCCAGTTTCTATCATGATTTACATCTTACCATTTTCTTGTCTGAAGAGAATCCAACTGCTACCCAGCCATCTGTGTCTGCACTCAGCTCAAATTCCACATCAGCCCCTATCATCCGGTAGCTAAGGAAGTAGTCACAGGTCTCTGCATTACAGCCTGGTTTGCCATATCTAAGGATACATCAGAAGAGACATTGGCACTTATACTTATAAAAGTACAGTAAGAGAGCATCTACCATGTATCAAATAGGATACTAAGGATTATTAAATAAATTAGATCTCTGCTTCTTGGGATCTCAAAAACACAGCTTCACCCAGTTAGGGACCTTGGTGATGATCTATTCCACTTTACATAAAAAATGAGGTCCAAAGAAGAGAAGGGGTTTGGCCCAGGTTGCATAGTGAAGTCCGAGGCAGTAATGGCAGTAGCACCTGGGTCTCTAAACTCCCAATGTTCTCTGCATTATATTAGAGTTTCTTAAACTTCAGCTATTACTGTAAGAAAAAAGAACTTAAAGTGGTCCATCTTCAAGATAAAATAGTTAAAATCTGAGTGGAAAATTATTGACAGTTATCTAACTGCCTGACAAAGTTCATGCATTTGGAGGGTCCCTGGGCAGATGAGACCTTGAGAGAAGATAAAAATAGTAAGCAAGAGAGCCTCTGTAGGTGTGAGTAGGTAAAGGGAGAAGAAAAACATTCTTCTAGCTAAAGCTAAGTAGAAACATAGTAATGTAATTCCAAGGTCATGTGAAATCACTCTACAGGCACATCTGCTTCTCAGAAGGTTCCAGAGAAAAGAACAGAGTATTATGAAGAAATCCAAACTCAGATTGGGAGGGGACTGGGGGATTACCTTATAAAGAGGGGATGAAACATTAGGTGATGTTCGGGGAAAGATTGTGCCTCCTCTAGTCTGGGGCCAATGAGGAACAAAGGGAAGGGACCATCTATGGGCTAGAGTTTAAAATGCTTGGTGCAACTGCTTTGCATGTGTCTGTCCTTCAGAGAACCCGGCATACAAGACTGAGTGTATTAAAGCTTTGCTTTCGCTGTCTTTCCTGCTTCTGAAGTCTATTCTTTGGGTTTGGATGACTGAGTACATTTCTCACATTACTAAATTAATTCTGAATATCTTTAAAGGAGAAGGATTCTTTGAATTAATTTAAATTGTCTTAGTTAATTAAACTTATATCAACTCTTTTTACTTACACATTTTCATAGTTAAAATAACAGAAATTCAAAAATTATATATAAATCAAACTAAAAACCCAGGAACATTGAAATTCACAGCATTTATGTCACTGGTAATGTGATTTTACTGGAAGTACATTTCTGCGTTGTATATGTCGAATATCTGACTATATCATGCAGAGTCTTCCAAGTTGAGCATGTTCTAACTACTGACCACAATATGATGGCTCAACTTCTCCAATCTTATCTGCACCAAATGAATATTTCATCTTGCAAACACTGAGTATAAATGCATCATTTATTTATAAATTTGCCTTTGTTCTCTTGGGCTACTTAGTACTAATACAAAATCAGACACCAAAACATACAGCAATATAAAATGGTTATCCAGAATGTTAGATTATTCATACACTGATCTTTTCAAAGAGCATCACTGACATAAAAACACAAATTCAAATTTTCTTACAAAGGACCTGTGGATCCTTTAAGAACCAGTAAGCCTTAATTTGAAAGCAAGCCCACTGTCAAAAAGATAGAAAATTATAGCAATGGAGTGTAGCTCAGTGGTAGAGCACATGTGTAGCATGCACTAGGCCCTGGGTTTAATCTCTAGCACAAAAAAGAAAAGAAAAATAAGCAATAGGTGAGATAATCTAAACTCAGATGGCAGATAGTGGAAGAACCAGGATACAAAGGTGCTAAGTTTTGATGGAGGAGGGAGGCAAAAACAAGCTACATGCTATCAGGGATACCCTGAACAGCACAGAAGAGATGTAAGATGAAGGAAACCTGAAACTAGAAAGAAAAAAAAAAAAGAAAAGTGAAATGAACTAAGGAAAATTTAAAAAGCAGGAAATGGGCCAGTATACAAGTCATTCTGAAGCCAGCAGGTTACTAAAATTTCTTCCCTTCTGAAAAACATCTCCCAATCACCAAAATTATATAATGCTATCTTCCTCAACAATAGTATCAGGTTTTTTAAAAATATCTTTGAAATGACCTTGTAATCCAAAGAACGCTCAAGGCCCTTGTATTCAATGTTTCCTCTGAGCAACAAACAACCAAACCAGGACCCTCAGTGCAGTAGCCATCAAAACCTTTACTCAGGGCAATGCCCGAAGTGCTGTTTCCTGGCCATCATGTCTTGACTCCCATTCATCATGTAAGCCCTCACCAGGTCTGAACTAACAAGCTAGCTACAGTAACACTTTCTTAACAACTTGATAGCATTGCTCAGAAAGCTACAACTCATGACTGTTCATTTGAAAAGAAATGGGGTATTAGACATGTCTATCATCAACTGTCCTGCCCATAGCCCCAGCTGAATAAGCAGACATTCTGTGTCATATGAATCTTCCTCACACAACCAGTTGGTGAGGAATGATTTGTACCAATGTCACTGCAGCCAGAAATGGAGAACTAGAGAAATGTTCCAGGGTCTCATGCATGTTTGAGCTAAAACACTGAGTACCCATTAGAAAACTCCATAACCTTGCTGAAGTCATAAAGGGGCACAGGCCCCTGCTTAGTATGAACTGTATGCAATTTAAATACTACCTTGAGAAATAAACAGATTTCTTAGCTTTAAATTTATTCAACTTGCATTTCTACCAACCTAAAGCATCCCTTAGTTTTTCCACAGTCTTCCACTTTGATTTTGGCAAATGGATCCACAGGAGGAGCAGTAGGGAAAGGGTAACCTGGGCAGTAAGAATAAATAACGGAAAGAAAAAAGAATAAATAATGGTTAGAAAATCTAGTAACAACTTTACCAACGAGATTTAAAAAAAAATATGTGTTGCCTATTTTCTGTCGCATATGTCTAGCAATGTTTGGGGACACAGAAAAGGATTTTTAACTAAGCCGAATTTACTCCCTTCATGAGGAGCAGGCATGGAGCACACACCTTTGGATTCAAACTTATGTAGGATGTAGGAATGGACGGGCCCTCTTCTCATTTTATAGTCAAGGAACAGAAGACAATGGAGCATAATTCCATGTAACCACTGTCGCTTAGTTTTAAAATCAGTTTTAATGCAATACCCATGCTTTAAAGAAAAAAACCTGACAATGATACATTTATGTCCCCAATAGTAGGGTTTTTTTCCACTTACATATATGATAAGATTTTCCATTCCCTTTCTCTGATCTGCCATTTTGCTTAAGCAGTAACAGTTTCATATGTCTCTAAATTCCTTAAAGAGAGTTCTAAGAGGAGTGTGTGTTTCTTATGAGATTACTTACCACCATGATGCACTAAACCACACAATGAAGAACAGGCTGCCTTATACCTCCAGTTTATAACAGAAATATTTTTCTCCTGGCCCGTTGAGCTTATGTACACAGGTACTATGTATGTTTTCTGCCTAGCACAGAGAATGGCACTGGACACAAATATGTAAATGATTGTCAAATGATAAAATAAAATCAACCACAGATATTAGGTAACGTAAATAAACTTGAGAAAAATAATTAACTTTTTCTCAATTATTTTAAAGCTTTTTGTGGTTCATAATGCTTTTTAAATTAAGTTTTGTTTTATTTTGGTTCATTAGATTTATTATACTTTAGGGATTGGGGATGTAGCTCAGTAGAGCATGTATTTTGTAGGCTTAAGGCCCTGCGTTCAATTCCTAACATTGCAAAAAACAAAAAAGAAGGAAAGAAGGAAGGAAAGAAAGAAAGAAGGAAGGAAGGAAAGAAAAAGAAAGAAAGAGAGAAAGAGGGAAGGAGGGGGAGAGAGGGAGTCTCTAGGTCACACTTTGGTGGCACATATCTGGTGCACTCTGGATATTCCATTTCTTCCTTTCTTTTCTTTTTTGTTTTTCTTTTCTTTTTTCTTTTTTTGCGGTACTAGGGATTAAACTCAGGACTTTGTGCTTGAAAGACGGTGCTGCTGAGCTAAATCGCCAGCCTTGGATATTCCAGTTCTATGATGCTAGACCTTGAACACATGACCTGACTTTCACCACCCCTAAGTAATTGTGTCACACGCATTACTTTTTCTAGTTTAGTTTTGTACTAAAGCCTACACTTATTTCAGTATTATAGACTAAATCCTGCTTTGGGTGAGTTTTTGTTTTTCTCTTAATATTTATTGAACAGCTATTCAATGCTACAAGCCTATGTTAAGCATCTTCATATATGTTCTTCCTCTGGTTTCTCACCACAGTTCTGAGGCAATTTTTTCTCAGGATATTTATCTAAGAATGCAATGACTATGTACTCACTGTGTACTTAGATTCTGATGGTGACTGACAAAGACAATCTCTTTTAATGTTGCTTCTGACTTAGATTCCACCTGCTCTAAATAAAAAAACAGGGGCCAGGGATTTACCTCAGTGGTTTTGCCGCCTGCTGAGCAAGCGCAAGGACCCGAGTTCAATCCTCGGTATCAAAAAAAAAAAAAAAAAACAAAACCAAAAACTGACAATGATACATTTATGTACTTGATAGTAGGTTTTTTCCATTTATATACATAACAGGATTTTTCCATTCCATTTCTGAAGTTACAAAGGGACATAGCCCCCTGATTAGCATAACCTGCATGCAATTTAAATACTATCTTCAAAAGGAAGCACATGTCAAACAGCCTCACTATTTCCTACCTTCTAGATTGATACATTGGTATATGCTAGATTTCCAGCTCCATAAATGCCGGTTATTTTTTAGCACTGGATTAGTGTTACACTAAATTTTGTAAAGTGAACAGAGAACTAATAACCATTGGGTAAGAAAAACAGGTTTCTAAACTCCAAATAAAAGCAAATTTCGGAACCAAGCTCACATAAATGTTCTGAACTAATTTATTAGTGTTGGCAAATAGCTTCTCTAGCACTAATGTTCCATCATCTGGTATGTTTCTAAAACTTGGGATGAGAACTTGTATTCTGTTAAATGTATCTGTGCATCCTTTTAATACCTTTTCTCTCCAATGCTGGAGGTTGAACTTCGGGCCCCCAGCATGCCAGACAGGAGTGTCTTTGTTACTCAAAAGCCCCTTGAATCACACCTGAGTGTGCAGAGATGAAATGACTTGGAATGAGAAGTGGTCACCAGAAAAACCCATCACGTGATTAGAGGTTTAAGGCTTGGAGCCAGTCCTACCTCAAGGGAAGACAGGGAGGCAGGAGATTGAGTTCAGTTACATGGCCAGTGATTAAATCAATCATGCCTCCATAACAAAACGCTGACGAAAGCTCTGGACACTGAAGCTCAGTGGGCCTTCCTAGCTGAACACGTTGATATGTCGGGAGGGTGACGTGATGATTCCATAAGAGAGCATGGAAACTGCATTTGGGGGCCTGCTAGACCTCATCCTATGTTTCTCTTCACTAGCTGGTCTGGAGCTGTATTCTACATATTATAAGCATGGTGCTTTTCTAAGTTCCACAAGTCATTCTAGCAAATTATGGGACAGGGGTGGGAGGAAGGCCCTACATTTATAGCTGGTTGGTCTGAAGTGTGGAGAGTCTTGCTGTGGCCCAGGACCTTTAACTTGTGAAGTTTACACTACCTCTGGGTCTTTAGCGCCATAAATAAATTGCAGGACACTAGTAGGATTTGGTATTAGACTAAAGCAGAACAATTATTCCTGAAATTAAATGATCTCTCAACATTTGGTATAAAATATGTTTGTACTATGTGCCAGTATCTATGTTCTTGTCTACTGGCTACAACCCAGCCTTCCAGAGGCTGAGCACTTGCAAACCATCCTCCTTTGCCAGCTGCTGAGGCAGTGCCAATAGAAGGCATTCAAGGGAGACGGGAGGAGGCAAAGAGGACTTTACTTCCTGTTAGATTGCTGTTCCAATATTTAAACCCTCAGTAGCTCTGCTTCATCCTTACAGTGGCAGTTGGTTTGAGTTCCCAGCTTTTTGCAAGACTCCCAGAACTAGCCTCATTCTGCTGCTCCACGGGACCAGGAACTGGGCAGACCCCCATTCTCGAACAATGTCACAACTATGGGAGGCCCCTTGTCTGAGCCTGCAGGTTCTGCTAACCCCAGGTCTTTCACTTTGCAACCTCACCCCCAGAGGTGGAGTTGTTTCCTGATGCCTTGGTCTCTGTTTTTGCTTCTTTAGTCCCTCAATTTCTTCTTAGAAAATTCCCTGGGCTGCTCATCCTGTTTTAAAACAGGATAATTTCTGTCTTTCTAACTAGAATTTGACAGATAGATTAAATGGATCAATCCTCAGATATACAATGTATTTTCCAAGACTGTAGTTTATTAGCAGGTATCATTTTGAATGATATTCAATATTCTGTTTCATATACACTACACATTTCTAGGGGTAAATTACTTCAAAAACATTTTTTTGCTAGCCAGATGTGGTGGTGCATGCCTGTAATCCCAGCTACCTGGAAGGATGAGGCAGGAGGATTTCAAGTTCAAGCCAGCCTGTGCAACTTTAGCAACAGCCCGTCTCAAATAAGAGCACTGGATGTAGCTCAGTGGTAGAATACTTGCCTAGCACACACGAGGCCCTGGGTTTAATCTTCAGTACCAAGAAAAAGGCACTCTGACAGACACATGCATCTTAGAAAAACAGCATTTTCTGATAAACTTAACACACTAGTAACAGTGGAAATGAGATAACATGGGATTGAAGGAAAGGTTCTCACCTCCGTGGAGCATGGAGTTCTACTTACCCACATTGCAAAAAGCCCTTCATAGTCTCAACACCACCATTCTGAACCTGCTGCATGATTTATCAGGGGAGGGAGGTTAATTTACCAAAACTACCTGCAACAGAATGTGTACCCAAAGTCCAGGTTCTAGGCACAATTTCTCACTTCTACCATGCCACACTGGTAACAGGTGCACCATGTGAGACAGCCCATGGCCTTCCACAGGTCTGGACATAGCCAAACAGTAGACTAACAAGGGCCTGACCCAATTCACTACTCACCATCTATGTGTTTATATTGTGCATGTGTTCTCAAAAGCTACAGTGTTCCTGTACATTATTAATCCATATAAATGATACAATACAATAAATCTCATTTTGTCTAATATTTTCCTTTGGAATTCAACCTACATAGGTAAATGTAAGACTCCCGGCTGAACAGTACAGTATTCCCTGATGTATAAACACATTTCTTAAAATATCTTTCCAGGTTAAGGCACTTCAGTTTCCTACAATGTTTGCTTTGTCAAACAATGAAGAGATGAACATCTTTACCTACGTTTCCTGTAAGCATATGCAAGAGATTTGGTGTTTTAATAAACCAGGAGAGAAACTGACAGGTCACATCTTCAATTCCACAAAGCTGAATGAGGGTAGTGCTCAGTGTGACAGCTCCAGCTGACAGTCCCATCAGTAGCGTGTTACACCCCCAGTTCCCCCACATCTGTGGCTGTACTTGGCGTTATAATTCCCAACTTTTAATTTGGATTTCCCCGAGTGCTGGTAGAATCAACATCTCTTATATGTCAACTAAATATTTGGTTTTTCCCTTCTGTAATGTCTATCTCTATCCTCTTTGTTCTGTTTATTATTTGGGTTTTGATCTTTTTCATGAGAACTTAAGAAATTTAAGTATTTAAGAAAAGTGTTGGCTTCAGATGTGGCCATTTTTTCTCCCAATCCACCACCAATTTAGTTTTTTACTTCTTTTTTGTCTATGAGGGTTTTTTCCTCTTGGATTCAAATCTTTAAATCTGATGTGTCAGGATAAGCATTTTTCTTCTGGTTGG